AAAAACAAGCGCGTTGTAAGTTTTTTACAGTGCGGTATAGTTTATTGTGGAACAGGTTGCCACTGCCTATCCGTAACTGTGATACATTTACCAGATTCAAAAGGCTAATAACCCTGTTTCTAGACTCTAAAGAGCTTCAATCTTTCCTTGAACTCCCGCCCACCAATGAAGCACTTTATTATGGACCGCCAAATTTCTAAACTAAACAAGGATATAACGAGCCCGAGTATTACTAATATGAATACAACTAAATTACAGGACATATTGTTTGCCGTTTCCTAATATTCATTGTGCATTAATCCAGGCCTAATGCTCCTAACTTTCACTTTCAGTTCCCAAATCCCCCTACTGGTTAAATATACATTTTTCTTCCTAAGTGTCATGTCTTTTTTTTCTATTGCAAGTAGACAGATAACTCAGAAATCATATGGATGCTGACCTACTAAGGCCGATTATACGAAGCTCAAAATTGGTCATAAAGTCTTGTGAGTTGCTCTGTGTTTTATTTTTCTTACCCTAAAAATTTTACAATTTTATACTCTTTCATATCATTTGATTTGCTATTAGTCCTAACATCTTAAACCACATATAATCTAACCTGTTTCTTATCTTTCACCATCAGTTATCTTCATAGCGGTGTGATATACTAAATGGGCATCTAACCCATAATACAAACTCTTTAACCATCTGATTTGCTTGTATCATGGAACTAGTAGAGACGGTGTATTCCAACCATGTGCTTGATTAAAGCAGTATGCATACTTACCACAAACGTAAGAGAGCCCAACATCACAAAAAGGAGGAGGGTGGCGTTACTAACCAGCAAACATGATGGTGGGGAGATAACTTCAATCCACCCATGTCTGTAGGGCAGAAGATTTTGTTAAATTACGGCTCCTTATGGTCTAGTGGGATATCACGAACTAATGGTATTGATGCTGATTTATCATGCAAAATACCTCATTAAATCGTGTTTAGAACTTTGAATTGGTTTCAATTCCTACACAGTAATCGTATTACAAGCAAACTAGATAATTCGGCGCGACTGTGATTTATGGATGACCTTTGAACGAATTTTAAGTGACCTAGAGTATATTAGCTAATCAAAAGGCAGTAAGTATAGAGTAAAAATATATTATACCAAACCAAGGAAATAAAGTGGATACACTTCTTATACGTGGTTCAAAAACTTGTCAAGGTTAGAAAGAGGTTTGTAGTGGCATTGAGCCCTAACACAAGACAAAATTCGAAAATAGACACTCAACATTTAACGCTGGGAAATACCCAACAATGGAGAAGGCTGGAATAAGGAATGAATTGAATTAATACGAGTTAATCTTATGGCATGGCTCAACCATGCAGGCGTGGTCCCTCCTGCTATATGTTACGTTATGTCTTTTATTCATAATAAATATATTGTTCCATCTCTAGCCTAAGCTTGTTCTCTATCACGTATTGATAATTGTTACAATGCAATGAATTGGTGTAGGCGATGATGTAACTTCCACGTAAGATCTTATAGATTAGGCAGTTACATCATGATAAATCTACAATTTTAGGATTAGGTCTATTATTAGAGCAGTGCTAATATCATAGTAGACCATAATTCTACAGGTTCAGTGGTTCTAAAATCGTAATGCATGCAGTAGAGTAAATCATCCATATGGCTACAGAATAGTTGGCCTCTGAAGCCATGATAAAGTCTCATAAACTCTTTGAGCCTCGATCACATAATTTCACTATTATTTATGTGCTCTTCAATTGTTGAGTACACAAAATGCTACTTGTGGATAACGACACGATGCACATAAACAAGAGTCTGTACGCTCTCCAAACATCCGTGTATATTTTAGTATCCGGCTGCAGTCAGTAGTACTATTGCTTTTATTATCCAGTTCGCGATAATTGTCATAATTTGCTCTAGCTAGGAATTACAGATAGGAGTTTCACCACGAGCTGACATCAGCTATAATGCCAGAAATCTATTTAGCCAAATGGATGTAAGGCTTTTGCACCAAAATCTGAGATCTGTTATCTTAAACCTGATTAGTTTGTCCACAAATTATAGTCTCACTGTTTCATTTGTTATAGCCGCTAAATTATCACGTTTTGCACAAAACGTTTTGGGAACCCATCGTATGTTGGCATTGTAGCACGTACTATCAGCGTTTATTGGCAAGCAGGAGCAATCTGAAACACAACACCACAATCAGGACCGGTTAACGCCACTGAAGTAAGAACACAGCGTACTTGCACAACAGAGATATGTTTTAAATTTGAATTACGCGGCTCGAGTACAAAAACGGGAAGTTTATTACAAAATGGTTTTACTCATTGTCCTGCAGTGTTAGTTTGCGCAAGGCTTGTTCCTCTTCTTCTGGTACGTTTGCTTTCTGTTGCCCTGCAATGAGAAAAACAAACTCGCATTAGTAAAGAACCGAAGTTGGCGCCGTGACCTTGAAATCTCAGACGCTAATGATTGGCTCTTCCATAAATTAGTCTCGCCATTGGGAGACAACCATTTGTTTATCATAATGCTGTTTTAATCACAATATTTTATAACTAAACATTATCCCAAACTCTCCGCTTTATTCTGAACCACCTCCATTTGTCAGTTGTTTATCTACTCATATCTAGTTAACACTTATTTTTTTAACCTGTCGGAATGCTCCTGTATAATAAATAATTCAATAAAAGATAATTAGACTGCTTAGTCATACCTTAAATATTTCTTCATGAACATCGTTCAATCTGCTTCCCGTCCTTTCTTTTTCTTGCACCATTTTTTGGCCCCCTTGAGATACGGAACGCGTTACCTCGTCCTGCACCATTCTCAAAGCCTCAGATATTTCAAACGGATATAAGGTTAATAATTCTAGAATCTCCTACTTTCAATGAATCTATCCTTGACCATTAGTTGCACGTCGCAACACAACTTTAATGAAGCGCGCTTATTGTTATACTGACTTAAACCATCTACATTCATATCTTATAAATTATCAACCCAGCTGAGTAATTTACTACAGTGGAAATTGTGTTATTTGTAACAATTTGATCTTGCCTGTAAACTGGCATGCCTTATGTAACAAACTGTTATTTGAGAATAAATTATTATTATTATTATCTCAACAATTCAAATGACTAAAGTCTTCACAAAACACCCTTCTGATAATAATTAAACAAATGTCAGCCTATGTGTAGTAACTTTCTGAAAATCTATATTTGGGTCTAATTCCCTAAGGAAAATATTTGATTCTTAGCTATGAGTCATCTAAAATAATGCTAACCTCGGCATGTTTTTGTCTATCATGAAATAGATATCTTAACTATTGTTCTGTACTCAGAATAGACACTTAAAATGTTGTGCGATAACAACCGCTCTCAATCTTCATTTTATAAAGATCAATTTTTTCAGACGCTCATCGATCTACTCAAAGAAACGTATTATCATTTTAGTAAAGTTTTTAGTTTTTTTTCAAACGTCAATTTTATAACGAAGCCATCAATAGCTTGTTAGCACCACTTACTCTTCCGTTTTTTTTTTACCAAAACATGATTATTCTCTGTTCTCTCATTTTTTATCATAGTCACATTTGTAGAATATGTTTTTGCACATTACAGTTCCACACAAATAGTTTTTTAGGTTTATCGGATGGCCAAAAGTATTTTATATAAATGTCTTTCCACCGTATGTCACGCGTAGTCGCTTATTTCCACAAAACTCTACGTAAGCAAAGAACCATGCGACACCCACTTATTCTTCGGAAGAACAAAACAATTGTCGCAGTCAACGTCTGGCTCAATTAAATTGATATAAATCGCCGAAAATATGATCGGTAACGACTGATTTACATGGATCTAAAGAAGAAAGGCCGACTTCAAAGTGGTCTGTTCTAAATGACGACTCAATGAAGGTAGCTTCTTCTGTTCCTCGCCCTCTAAATGGTAGTATGTAAGAAACAATTGCAAATCCCAATCGCAAGGCTAGGTGTGTTTCTAGAAGGAGAAACGACCTGATTGCCCTGGTCGTCGGCAGCCTTCCGGAATCCCGCAATGTGTTTGACGCGCCTGTTGTTGCTACGATCCTTGATCACTGGGTACAGGTGGAGAACAATAAACGGCAAAACGGCATTAAAGAAAATTTAACTTCCCACAAAGTATCCGAGAACTTAAGGACTGATCACAGTTACAGAGCAGTTATCTTTGATAGAACCAAAGAAAGTGGAACCCAGCACCTAAACCTCGTTTTGAGAATGACATTGGGCTCATGCCTCGGAATATCTCCGAAGTCATCTTGCTTATGTTGTATAGACTAGGTAGTCAAGTGAATTTGAAAAAGAATCAAACCGGGCTGCTTAATGTATTTTTTAAATCTAATGTTATATCCACTGATGTTTCCCCGGGTGGGTTCAAGTCCCATCCTCTTCGCCAATTGTTATATCTCAAGGCCACTGATTAAAGGGCAGTGAATTTCGATCGGACCAAGGACGCGTTAAACACGTGTGAGCGATCTAGAATTCTGATTGACCCTGCTTTCCGCCTAGCCCAGCCAGTTATCTCCAGAACGCCAATCTCAGCCTCTGCAATATGAATATTACATTTCAACATACTGAGTTTATATACCAGTCGAACAGACCACAACGTAGCATAGAATAGAAAAAACATTGGTAAAAAATTTGGCCAAATGTGCTGTGAATGTGGGTGGAAGTGACTAGTGGACAGGGAATGATTCAAGAATGATTGAAGCTCTGTCTGTCGACAATTTTAAAAGAAAGTTGGATCAACTGTGAGGCCATCGTTGCCAGGACTAGCACAGACCTGTCCTCCTTTCCTTTGAAAACTGAATTAATGCAGTTGAGTAATCAATTTATCAGAAACAAAAGAATATTTTGATCAGTGCTAATACAATAAGAAGCTATCGTGAAGAATGCAATCGGTTTATATAATCTCGTCACAAAGATATTGTAATTGAGTATATGTTGGATATTGGAGTCGACCTTAATTCATGGCGGCTTTTTCGTCGCTCTCTCTCCGTTGTGAACGTTTATGCGGCTTGCTTTCTAAACTGTTTGGAATATCTCTCAAGGCGTAAGTTGCTGAATAAACTTCGAAGTGTTTATTTAATAGAAGTCCAGTTGTTGGACTTCCTATTCATACAAAACAATGAACTTTTTTATTTAAGTCATAACGTAACCAAAATTTCTTAATAAGTAGCTTCATTTAGAGTACGGTTTACTGACATCCTTGGGCTAATTAATAGAAACTATAATGACTTCTTAATTTTATCCCTCGAAGGCTAAATTGCAGTGATGGATCAAGTTATCTTACTATTAATCAAGTGGAAATTTGCTATAATTATGATCTTAAAATGCTTAAAATCAATGAAAACATACAACACACAAAAGTAAAGCGAATTTCTGGTGGTGCATAGGCTATGAAACATGGCTTACCTGCTTCCAAAGCAGACTGTTTAAGTACTTAGCTTCATCCATTGCGTAATCGATAGTATTTGTGAAGCAAGATTATGTTCTCCATTTTCAATCTCGCTCCTAATCTTAAACTAATGATTTTCAGGTTTGTAGACAGGATGGTGGCATGACATTGGATCATAGCTGGTGTCATTTCTTCTTGACTAACTCAACCCACCTCAAAACTACTTCTCAATACGTAACTCTAACAGTTTTGCATTATAACTGATATCAGTTGGCGGCCAAAACTCTATATAGTGATCACCCTTACAATACTAACCAAGCTTCTAGGATGCATGTATATACTTTAACTTCCTCTTTTTTACTAGACGGGATAATTTGACCTGCAGGAGTTAATTATTACGATCAATGCTGTCATCCCATTGTTGTTTCATTACTACGGACTACTAATTGCTTTACAGCTAGTTAGAGTTTCCTGATTCAGTCTTCAGTAATAAGGATAGGAGGTCTATCGACCTGTGTTAATCCTTGCAGTTTGTAATACTGTGGAGGTCCAATCTCGTCTTGAATATATCAACACAAGGTGCTGATATTACGTGTTCCGGTAGAGAATTCCAATAATTCACTAATCGATGAGAGAAACGAAACTCCAGACGTAAACGATTTGATATCGGTTTTTGAATTTCTTTTCGAGTGTCCTCTCAAACGATCAGTCCTAGACGGAAGTAAAAGATAAGACTTGTTAATACCAAGGTCATCGTCCAGTATACGATAAGCCAATATTAGATCACCCCGTATTCGACGGTAAGATAACGGAAATAAATTGAGGTGTCTCAGTCTGTCTTCATAAGATAGTCCAGAGAGACCTTGTACCATCTTAATACCTCGTCGTTGGACTCGCTCTAGCATATCTGCTTCATACTTGAAACAAGGACTCGCTGCTTGAATTCCATATTCTAAATGTGGTCGCACATAAATCGGGTATAGTAATCTAAACATTTCATCATCTAAATACTGAAGACCTACGAATAGACCATAATATTCTATAGCCTTTCGCAGCAGCAGCAGCCTTACAGTGACTAGTGGTTTTGAGATCACTACTTAATATGACTCCCAAATCTTTATAGTTTCTTACTTTGGGTAGTACGAATCCACGTATTGTATAGTGATACGATTCATCATTGTTATTTAATTGCATCACCACACTCTTATTAGGATTTACTTCAAGTGACCTCCTGTCTAACCATGCCACCAATGAGCTAAGATCATTCTCTAATACTATTTTATCTGACATACTGTGTATGGGTCTCCAAATTTTTATGTCATCAGCGAATAGTAGAACGGATGATTTTGCTACAGTTGGTAATTCATTTACATAAAGTAAAAAGAGAAGAGACCGAGGATTGTACCTTGGGGAACTCCACTTTTTACAGGTATCCACGAGGAAAGAGTTCCATTAACCCTTACCCTTTGTTTCCTGTCATGGAGAAAGTTACTTATCCAATCTACGACTGTATAGTGGATTCCGAAGAGTTCCAGTTTGAGTTTAAGACCAGAATGGGAGACCTTATCGAAAGCCTTACTTAGATCTATGAAGATCACATCTACAGGAATATTCTGATCTTTTGCGGCAGCCTAATCTTCTCTTGCAATGAGATTTGTCAAGCACGATAGGCCTCTCCGAAAACCATGTTGTTCCCTAGAAAAAAGATTATGCCTTTCAACATAGTTTATAACAGATATCCGAATGATTTCTTCCATCAGTTTTACAACTGCACTAGTTAAGCTAACGGCTCTATAGTTACTAACTAAATCCCTACTCCCAGCCTTATACACCGGACTTATTATAGCGTCTTTCCAGTCTCCGGGCAGTCTGGACTGCCTCAGAGACATGTCAAACAGTATCGCTAGTGGTTCAGCAATTACGTCTGGTATGGCTTTCATAATCCTAGGATGAATATTATCAGGACCACTGGACTTATCAGGTTTGATATGCTGAAGTAGCCTTAAAACAGTACCTTTCTCAATGACCACAGGATCCATCAGCGAGCCGTTACGATCATAATGAATCGTTGGTCGTTCCTCATTAGTGAGTGAAAACACTTTACTGAAATATTTCGATAAAGCTTCAGCTTTTTCGGTATCATTTTCTGCCAAGATTAACGGATTTTCTTGTATCAAATGTGATGGAATTACATCACTTCTCTGAGTTCGCCTTTTTATATACGAGAATAACCGTTTCGGACTATATCTAGAATCCCTAACCAATTGCTTTTCGTATGATCGTCTAGTCTTACTTATTAAAGCTTTACAGGCATTCCTAGTATTACAATAACTGGATCGGTATTGTTCTAAGCTCGTAGAGATGAACATATTCCAGTGCTTCTTCCTTCTTCTAAGAAGTTTCTTAACTGGTTTGGTTATCCATGGTGGACTATTGTTCGGTCTTCGCGGTATCAGGTATGGTATGAACGAGGACGTAACTAAACTAAACTTACCTTTAAATACAGACCATGCTTCTTCAACTGATAAGCTAGTATCTACAAACCAATCTGTCTTAGCAGCGCATTCCTGAATGACTGATATGTTAGCTTTCCATATATTTGGGCGGGGTGTGACCTGATCGTATAACATGTCCCTAGTTCTAAACGAGGACAAAACAGCGTGATCACTGTTCACTAACGGTGGGAGAACATTTAGGTCGACAATATCTTCAGTATCATGAGTGATTACCAAGTCCAACAGAGAACCTTGGTTAGCACCAAAACGTGTAGGTTTGGATACATGCTGCACTAATGCATGCTCCATTATTGTTATCAGGAACCTACTATCAAAGGAGTTTATAGATCCTTCTGTGGTCATTTCAGTCCAACTAATATCAGGTGCATTAAAGTCTCCTATTATCAAGCATCTGGTATTGGTACTTCAAAGATGAATGTGCTCTAGAATAAAGTCATCAGCTAAGCAGATTGGGCTGCGATAGATGACACCGAGCATAAACGTACTACATCCGATATCCAATTTACAGCTAATAACTTCACAAGTACCGCTGTCATGGGATTCGCTAATAAAGGAGCGTATATTTATATTATTGGATATATATAACAAGACGCCACCTCCTTTTCTACAACTATGTTTATCACTCCTTAGGTAATGGTATCTCGATAATTCTGGAGTAATGTCGAAGTCATGTACTAACCAAGTTTCTGTCACTGCTACTATGAGTGGCCTTAATCTGTCCACTAATGCTTCTAGCTCATAGAACTTATTTCTTAGGCTACGAGCGTTGACATATAAGACTCCTAGGTAGAACGGCCTATCCATACAGGCCTTGGTAGCATTCGCTTCCAAGACCTGACTATCCGAAAACCCACTAACCGGAGATTTTCCTCACCATTTTGTTGGCGGATTTCTAGTTCAGCTAGTGCTTTCTTTCTTTTTATTCTATCTTCGAGAGACATATCAGGTCTAACTCGGATATCGGAATTGTCGTGACAACGAGCATTACTTAACAGGAGGTCCCGTTGCTTCTCTGATCCTAGGATTACCTTAAGGAGTCTACATGGTCGAGGTTCAGCATTGTTTTCGGTCCTCTTGCCTATTCTTACCAGCTTCTTGACCTGGACTTCTTTAGAGTTATCCGGTAAGATACTACGAATATATTATCCCAACTTCTCTAAACCATGCGCATGTCTAATTTTGGAGTCAGGGTCGTTTGTCTTCAGTAATTTGCTAACAATAATATTCGATGATATCAGATTCTTTTCAGTCACACCTGGGTGGTTTTCCCTCTTAATATCAGATTTTGGTAGTGCGTTTTGTGACTCACAATCGGAGTCCACCAATGACTTGCTAACCACCTGCGCACTGCCCATAGCCTTTTTCTTTTCGCTTCGTTTTTTCCGTACTGTAGTCCATTTTTCATCCCTCAGGACACCGGGACTATTTGGAACAATGACGGTCTTATTCAGATCTTCAGTTTCCACTAGAGGTACATGGTTACCGATGGCAGTTTCAGGTGGTGCTTCTTCCCTCGTTAATGTTAACGGAGATTTCACTTTTCCGTCAATCAAATTCGGGTGTTTGAGGCGTCTTGTAACAGCAGGTACTACACTGACACACTCGTCACTGTCAGTGCTCGTGTTATCAGTGCGTGCCCTATCGTTTTTCTTACAGGCCAAAGCCAATAGGCTCATAGCCTCTTGTATTAGTAACGTCTTGTTTGCACAACAAAACATGCAAAGTCAATGTGAGTTAGGCTTTGAACATCTTTTGTACGCAGTGGGACGAGTGCACATCTTATGGAACCACCTTTTGCATTTATCACACTGCATTCCTTCGTCCACAGGGAACAAACAATGTGGTTGTCCACATTTGTGAGTACTACTAACCATTTTGGTCAGATTAAGATGTGTAACACAATATGAACACTAGTGTCAGTCAATGAGGAAGAGGGTATCACAAGACAAACCTTGGCAAGATTTAAAACCTTAACTAAAGTACTTTAATATAGACCAAGAATGCTTTTGATGCAACAATTACACAAAACCAAGGATAATCACAACAAATACAAAATCACTGCCCTTTTTATCCGATAATTCGCCCAAAGTCGTCAGTACTGTATTTTCTTTCTTAGTTGGGGGTCTATGCGACTGTTGTGAAAACTCCCATCCATTCAATTTAATGAAACCACTTAGGTTGGATAACATAATTACGTCTTAAGGTATGTTCGGGGAGTTGCTTCTAAATGTCTGGTCAAATTTACTTCTCTTAAACATATCCTTAATTATACAGTCACATTATTTACATATGAATACATAATAACAAGGATCGTTGTTACTGGGGTCCTTTTTATTTTCTGGACGCGACTATTAACCTAAAAATATCCATTTTATCAACATGTCAAGTTGAATAAATCATAATTTATTAATTCAATATATCACGTACACGTGTTATTCCTTTGTATTTTTCATGCTTATTATGTCTTAAGATTCATTAATCGTTTGCTATTGGTACAGGTTTACAAACCTAGCTTCAAGTACAATGAAGTAAATGCACACATTAAAATTTCCAGCCAGGTTTTTTGTTGTATCTGCATTGTTAGTAATATTTTGGAGAGTTCAGTCCTCTGGAAACAATTTTTGTATCAAAGAAATAATTATAGTACAAATTAGCCCATCAACCGTAGCATTAAAATTAATGGCTTGTGAATAATTGCGCACCGTTAGTGTCTTCTTAGTTCTCCATTCAGTGTCGGTTTCAATCTGAGTCTCCCAACTCATGAAAGTGTCTTGGTTCTTATGAACAAGTATGGGAAGCTAAACTTATATTTTTGATGTACATTTTTCCTATGTTAATTTCTTCAAGGAATAAGTGTTGATTACTCTTGGTTCGGTTAAAGTAGCACACAGTTTAAATTTTGATTTGTTATATGGAAAGATTGATGTTACTTTTTTGAACAAATATAAACAACACATCTTTATTTGATAGTCAGTTGTCGTTAGATTGAATTATTTCACTAAAGCATTTACAGGTTTTAAAAATATTAGTTCCTTCCGTAAATCCCTAGTGTCTTTTTTTAAACACGAAAAGTTGTTGATTAAGATGCAAAACTCTTTATCATGTAGGTACACATGAAGGTCAACAAGTCTTCCATATGGTGAGTCATTCGAAAACAGTGGGATTGTCTCATGAATCGATATCTTCATTATGACCAGTATACCCTTTCATCTTCTCAAGAAGTTGAAGTAAGATAGTTTGTCTTGTTTTGTACTCATCACCTTTTTATCTCCGAATAGGCCCAATTAGATATACTTAATAAAACATCTACACAGATTAATGACCTAGAGAGACGTTTGGAAGTGAGTGGAATACTCGTGTTTATTAATTCATGCATATTTTCATTTAGATTTCTCGTGATGTTTATCGTAAAGTTTTATCAGATCAGTCAGATAAATTGCAGAAATTAAGTAAAAAACTTGGTAAATGTATATTACGTACTCGACCATACAATGAATTAAAACAAAAGCAAATGCACTATCGTAAAGAAATTCAACTGGCTGCTTTAAAGTATGAAAATGCCATATCGACCTTAAATGCAGCTCGTGACACTCTGGCTAAATTGGAAGCACGTGTTTCAGAGTCTGGTGTTAGAGATCCAAACACATTGGAGTCCCTAAACCAAAGTATTACGGATGTGAGCCTCTTTTATTTTTACTGTGGTATTGTTTTGTTATTTTATTCAAATGGCTTAAGCTATATGGAAAAGATGTATGCGATGGGATTGAAATCAGATGTGACTTACCTCAAGATTTCTGTGTTGTGTTTTTCTTATAAGTATTCTATATATTGAGCAAATTTTTCGGCAAAGTGAAACCTTTTAAATGTAATGGGTTCGTTTAAAAGTAACAAACCAGTTTTATTCAGTTGCCCTATAGATACACCAATTTTTATTTAGGCTGCCAAAGTGTAATCTACCGAGGTTCACTTAGTTGTGCTATCAGCAGTGTTTATTCATAATCGCAGACCTATATCATGCTTACGTACACAGTCGTTTTTATTATATTATAGATATTACTGAAAAGGAGTTTAAAATGAATTGACATGTTGATTAATGGGTGGTCTAAGTTAAGAATACTTATTAGTTAAGAGTTGATTCATGAAGTTATTTCCTGAGATTCTATTGTTTCTATATTCTGAGCTTGAGAACTCAACACACTTGTGCAGTCGGAACAGCTTCGCTTCTTTTGTGAGAGGTGATGATACTACTCGATCGCTCATATCACAGTAAAAATAAGAAATATCAAAGTGGGAAAGTCCAAATTGGAACATGCTCCTCTATTTATTTATCTGAACGCGTAAACATTGGCACAAGAGGGCACTTGGCCGTTCCAGGGCATTTGGGGGCAAAGTGAACCTTAGCGGTTGAAAGATGAGCGCTTCAACCACCACTAGTTTCGCCTATTCTACGGCGTTTGTTTCCATACTAATCTTCTCTGTTAACTGTTCAGAGACACGAAAATGGCTCTACTCTATTTTAGTTTCGAGGTTGTGGAGATTCGCAGCTCAGGAGGATGATTTTTTTAAAAAAAATATCAGAGGCTACATAAACATACTTTGTTAATAAATACAGTACTAAGTTAAAGACTAGTTAGATTCAAATAGACTGACGTTTGGAATTACTACGTAAAGCCATTGGGTGCTGTTTATAGCCGTGCCCAAAGCCACTGATTTCATAATTCAGTCTTTTTTCGACATAATCGTAATGTTCGGTATGGACAGCGAAGCAGTTGCAGTGGTGCAGAAATATTATCTCCACTGGAAACTTACACATGTTATTACATAATATATCATATTTACTAAGTTCACTCGTACCATTCCAACTGGACTTGTTATATTTGGTTTTTTTTCACTACCGCCGATACTATTTCAACTCTCTTACCAACCGTGTTGCTGATCCTCTCTTGCATTAAAATGTTGAGTTGGGATCCAATGGTGCTAATGTCTAATTCCAACCAAACCTCATTGGTTTAGAGATTAAGCGTTCACGTGCGAGAACGAAGGTCCTGGGTTCAAATCCCGCCCGCAGGGTCGTGGATGCGCACTGCTGAGGAGTCCCGCATCAGGACGAAACGGCATCCAGTGCTTTCAGGTTTTCAATTGTGGTTTAACATTGATCGATTCATGATCTCAATCAAATCTGTGATTTGATTTTATATTCGTGGGAACCTGGCAGAATGTATTGTTTGTTGATTATTGAGTTCACAAAAATCCTAGCACAAAAAAACATCACTATATGCGGGCTGTGAATAGTGAATGTCATTCACTTTCTCCGCACTTTCTCGTTTTTAATTAGGCGACCATTCCACAGCTTTTTAATCACCCATTCTCATTATTTGCAAATGACTTATTATCTAGTTTCTTTTATTGACCCATCTGTATGTTGCACTAAACAATCACTTGTTATAATTCATACTTATCCAATTCATATTTATTTACTCGACTTTGAACTATACTCAGAGATAACCGAGATTTGAGCCTGAAATAGACTGGTTGAAAGTTGAGTGCCTTAACCAATATTTCACCATTTGATATTAAGCATTCATACTTATTCTAGTAGTATTTTTGTGGAATCTATTTTTATTAGATTGAATGCCGATTATTTTGTTGTCATTACACAAAACACAGTTCTAGTTGAATAGTTAAATAACATTTTCTTTTATCTATAATCCTTTGCCTATAAAAAAAAATATTTGGCTTTCAGCCATTGATTGATCTATTTGAACTGATCGTTACCTAATTCAATTTTAGAAATCGAGTCATATTAGCAATAGCAACAGCAGCGGCATTATTTATAGTGTGATTTAAGGCTAAATACACAAATCTACACTTAGCTACATCTATTTCTTTTTCTTGTCCTATAAAAGCAATGAAATTTAGTCAAATCATCAATACCTTGTTGAAATATGCATATTAATTTTCATTTATAAATACCTAGTTATTCACATTTCTTTATTATTAAGTCTTCTTGCTTTTAGCCTTTTATATTATTTTATCTCTACCATTTAGTTTAATAATGCTAACAAATCATTGAATAATGCTAAATTAGAACATGAAAAATTAATGGAAATTTATGCCACAAATGAACAATCACTTCGTTGCTTAGAGAAACGTCTTCGTTTCGATATTCAAAAAGCGAAGTGAGTTGTCCTTTTTAGATCTGTTATACATCAAGTGGATTTTTTTTAGTAGGATCTTTTTTGATGTTTATCATTAAACTTACTTACTTACTTACGCCTGTTACTCCTCGTGAAGGAGCATAGACCGCTCACCAGTATTCTCCATCCAACCCTGTCCTGGGCAATCCTTTCCAGCTCTTTCCTGTTCTTATTCGTCCTTTTCATATCCGCTTCTATTTCCCGACGTAATGTGTTCTTTGGCCTTCCTCCTTTCCACTTCCCTTCAGGATTCTAAGTTAGCGCTTCTCTCGTGGTGCAGTTTGATGATTTGCGTAATGTATGTCCTATCCATTTCCATCGTCTTTTCCTAATTTCCTTTTCAGCTGGAAGTTGGTTTGTTTTCTCCCACAGAATGCTGTTGCTGATGGTATCCGGCCAATGGATGTTGAGTATCTTGTGTAGACAGCTATTGATAAATACTTGTACCTTGTTGATGGTGGTTGTTGTAGTTCTCCAAGTTTCACCTCCGTACAGTAGGACTGACTGCCTTGACGTTCGTATTGAAGATTTTGACTTTGATATTGGTTGGCAGTTGTTTTGAGTTCCATATGTTCTTTAATTGAAGGAATGTGGCCCTTGCTTTGCCGATCCTCGACTTTACGTCTGCATCTGAACCTCCTTGTTCATCGATGATGCTTCCCAGGTATATGAAGGATTCTACATCTTCCAGTTTCTCCATCAAGAGTGATTGGATTGCTGTTCTCCGTGTTGTATTTGAGGACCAGAAAAAATAATTCAAACCATTTATCATTTAACACTTGAATAAAAGTTGCGAATCCCCAAGTTCTTTTTTTCACTGTTTTATTTTTAAAGTTTTTCATGAATGATACATTTGTCACCTTTTCGAAATGTAAACCTGTTGTTGCTAAACTATTTAGGGCAATGACATAACATACGATCCAGTACATACATGTCTTTCGAACGACAGACAAAAACCAAAAAGTTGTGTAGAGAAGAAATCGAGATAATTTTATGGTATTTGCAATAAAAAAATCGACTGTCTTTGGAAGCGTGGTAACTATTTGATTGGTCCTCCCGGTGTCCCATGTTGTCCAGAAATTCCGTGTACCTATATTAATTGTTGCTTTGGTTGTTAGAACGGGCATCGGCCTCATGACTGCCGAAGTACTTCGGCTTTTACTATGAGGCGTCATTATTCTTCTAAATTTAGATCCTTCATCTCTCAGTACAGCATAAATGTTTGAAATTGTTTATTCTGATTAGCGTATTTTTAGCATGATTGTTTTCTGTGGGATGGGGTTGCTTAATCCATGGCCAACTGTTCTCTTTTACCTGGTCTTGAAATTGGCAGTAACCCTAGAAGAACTATAAGCTGAGTTAATGACCGAGTATATGAATTATAAAAGTCGAATGACAATATCTGCTTTTCAAAGCCAACCAAAAATTTTACTAAATAAACTTAATTGATTTAAGTAACAAGTTGGTCAGAGGGGAAGAAGCATGAGATCTTAATGCTAACACTAAATGAAATCATTAATCCATATTTCTAACCAGCTTCAACTGAAATTAATTACTGATCAATGTAATTTATGAATTATTATCAACATTTATGACATGATTATTCTCTTTATTTACTATTTCTCTAGGCCTTACTACACCATGTATGATCATTTCATGTTGAAAATGGAGGTTAGTTGGTAGTTATTCACATTGTGAATATTTGTTCACTTCACTTGAATTCATTATATCTTCCTAACTAAAGTTACCTATTTTTGTATACTCAGTCATGCATTAAAATTATTCCTGATATTGTAAATGTAGTTGTACATTTGTAGTTTTGATTGATAAATTTCATCAGTTTTAGAATAGCCTTGTACGTTAGAGGTTGGGGAGAGTCCGCTCACCCTCTCGAAATGCTCTCACATGGTCACGCGTATAATACAGCCACTGACAGGGGAATCCTAATCACTGCCTTCTTGTGCCGGGATGTTCTTTATGAAATTGAAAGGACGAAAAGCGAATATCCGACGCTTTGACCGGATTGTTTGTAGAGAAGGATCAACCAAGGGAAGTTGGCAAACCCTCATGGGTTCCAGGATCCTGAGGGAACAAAAGGCAATATGAACCTATTGTGGTCATCGGCTACCATAGGAATCAATCTCTTAAAGTTGCTCCACTGACTAATGTATTAGACGTTTGGGTCAACGTCTCTTGGTGTGGCCCCCTAATAAAACCACCTGCTTCAGTTTGGGTGCCCATTCAGTAACCTAATCCTCACACAATTCAAATAACTTGTGTGGTGCATATTTTTTTCGATGTCCCTTTGTACTAATGTTTATGTTTAAATAAATAAATAAATCGATTAATAAATGTTACCAGTTTTAAGACATCGTATTATTTCCGTAATGTTTAACTGATACTTGACTATTGAAGTCGGATTTAATTTCTTTATACTTAATCAATTAATTACTTACGTCTGTTAACCCTCTTAGATGAGCATAGATCGTCCACTAGAAGTCATTAAATCGATCATCATCGAGATAAGTAAGGTGAATTGCCCATTTCTCATTTAATTAGTAGTAAATAAATAAAATTGTAAAGGGTATTTAAAATACTTTTTTTTTCTACCAATCACTTATTATTCCTTCATTGCAACATATACCTTCTTACATCATAAAGAACTGTTCATTCTCAAAAATATAATTAATTTCGAGAAAAACATATCAGTAACAATACAAAGACTTAATTCATTGATAATTTAAATAATTGAGATCGTGAGTCAATTAAAGCTAGACCACCATGGAAAACCTGGAATCACTGGACGGCCGTTTCGTCCTATTGTGGGACTCCTCAGCAGTGCGCATCCACGACCCCGCCTCGCGGGATTCGGACCCAGGACCTATCAGATGATTGCTTATATGATTCTGACTATAGGGAGTTTTTAAAAACATCTCGAAAGTGGATTGGATAATTATCTATCCTGACACTATGTTTAGTATAATTTCAAAAACTTCCACAAGCTCAAGTCCATCTGAAATACTGTAAGTACCTTCGATTTTTTTGTATATAAACGAAACTTGGAGTTAGGCGTTTATTCCACATTTGACGTCTTCTCGTATTCAAACTATCGTGTAGTTTCAGCCTGAAGTTGGTAAAAAATCATAGGGAACTGATTCAAGCGTTCAGTTAATAGACTCATCAATTCAGTATTGTATATCTGAAATATTTAGTATACACATAAATATTGGTACAAGGAGACACCAGATACATATGCGCCACACAAATCTCATTTGATTTGTGCGAGGGCAGTGATACTGCCTGGGTGCCTAAACTGAAGCAGGTGGTTTGCCTAGGGGACCACACCCGGAGCCTTCGACCTGAAGGTCTGATCCACGAGACAGTGGAGCAATGTCAGGAGATGCAGTCGCATGGTAGCTGGTGATCAACGATTGGTTCATACTCCATTTGTCCCCTCAGGATACTGGGGCCCTTGTGCACCATTAGTTTGGAATGAGGGTTTTCCAACTCCCCTAGGTGGACTCTTCATGTCCACCAACTCGGTTAAAGCGCCGGACATTCGGTTTTCGTCCTCTCAATTTCGTGAACAACATCCCCGCCACGAGAAGGCAGTGAGTAGGACTTCTCTGGAAGAGGCTATTTACGTGTGGCCATATGAGAGCATTTGCGAGAGTGGTAGCTGACTCTCCCTACTGTCGGCCGTACCAGAGCATTTGGGGGCTGTGGAGAATCTCAAATTTGAATATGACAGCTCTATAGCATTAAGTAGTTTCTAATGCTTATTACTAACTTATTTTCATGATTTTTCTTTGTTTTTAAACGATGATATATACTAATTGATAAATTACTACTATTGATTTATATCCCTTTTTGCTTATTTGTGTCTCTTTGAGACATTCTAATCGGAAGCTTACTTATTAGAAGCCGTTGTACAATTTTTTTCTCTCTCTAAGCTGGTCACTTTTCATCAGTATTCATTCCATTAAACAATCTTTGATAGTTTAAACTGAAACAGTAATTAAAAAAAGAAACTTTTTCATTCATATTCTGAGTTTCGTTGGTTTATATGCATAAATAGTTTTGCTTATCAATGAATTGGATTTGAATATAATCCTCGTCTTAACTCGATTCATGGAGTTACTAACTTCTAATCTGAGCAATATTGGTAGATACAGACTGCTTGGTTGGGGTACGTGTGATTATCGTAACCAATCGTGGAAAACTCTGGGTGACATAACCCAGAATCGATCACAATGGCGTCGGTGTATGAACTCTTTGTCTTTCCTTAAACCATGAGATTAAATTTTCTTTATGTGTTTCTTTCTACGAACTAATTCTTCTTCCTGTATTATTTCCTCATACACAATCTTCCTTTTATAAATTACATCCACTGAATTAACTGCTTCTATGAATCCGGTGTTCATCTTGCTGTGTTAATGCGGTATGGGAACTTGGACCGATGCATATACGTGCCTGGTTCTACGTTGTGGCTGACTGACTGAATCGTCTTTAATCAGATTGATTACTATGACGTTAAAATTTCCTATTTTGATTATAACAAATTCTTTTATGAGTCAATAAAACACTTTTCTAAACTTAACTATGTATTCATATTTCCTCAAGACCAAAAAACATACAATTTCATAGAGAATATCGGTAAGATAGTTTGCAGTGTTACGGTGTGTTAAAGCTAACCGTCATGAAATTATTCATTCCCACATATTCATCCTACTATCCATATTATCATCTCATTATTTTGTGTTTTGTGTCTTTGTTTTTTTTTTTTTTGCTTTTTATCCCTCATAAATCTCTATAAAACAAAAAAAAGAGAGAAAAGTTATTTGTTTCATTTAGAACTTATCAATTGTTCCCTTAATCATCATTTTATGGATAGAAATTACACTGGAAACTGTAATTCTTATTTTGTTCTATTAATGTGATGAACACAATATCATACGGTTGTTATGATAACACATAGATTTCTACTAGGTGTAAAGTCAGATTATCTTTTAAGTTGACTGTGTTTTCCAATCAGTAGTCATCTCAGTTTTCTTTTTTTTTTTTTTTTAAAAAAAAACAAATCTTATCGTAACTATAGAAGAATCAGTGAATTGTTAATGATTTCAGAAATTCTTGGTTATGTAATAATATAATGCTTAAATGGTGTTTACGAATAATAATTTAGAATAATCAAACATGTTTCAGATCTAGACATTAGTTTTACTCTTTTTGAAATTCTAAAATACTGACTTATATTATAAGTATGTAACCATAACTGTTCACTAAACGAGGTATCTATTAAATAGTCGAGATTTCTTGTCGTATTACACTTAACAGGATATAATGGATTCACCTAGGGCAGTTGGAAAAGCTTGATTCCAAACCAATGATGTACATGGGCATCAGGATGCTGAAGGAACAAATGGCGTATGAATCAATTGTTGGTCACCGGTTACTATAGGATTGAATCTCTTTAAGTTACTCCACTGCCTTGTGGATTAGACTTTTAGGTCAAGAGGTTCTGAGTGTGGCCCCCTAGTAAAACCACTTGCTTCAGTTTGGGCGTCTGGGTGGTATTCCAGCCCTCACACAAATCGAATGCTTTGTGAGATGCATATGTATTTAGTGCACCTTTTTATCAATATTTATGTGTTCAAATAAATAATAAATAGATAGTGTCTAAGTTCGAGACATAAAATAATAATTATCGGCATTTTTTTTTATGCTGTTCAATTTTGTGTTTAATCCTTTCTTAGATCATGCTCTGTCAGATGTAATAATTTGCTCTGTTAACTTTCTAAAGATAATACTTTCGTTGTAAATCTCCTTTTAGTTTTGGAATACATTTTTTATTTTATTTTAACACATAAATATCGGTACAAGAAGGCACCAAATACATATGCGCCACACAGATGTCATTTGATATATGTGAGGGCTGTGATACTGCCCGGGTGCCCAAACCGAAGCAGGGGACCACACCCGGAGCCTTCGACCTGAACGTCTGACCCACAAGGCAGTGGAGCATTGTCAGGAGATGCAGTCCCATGGTAGCCGGTGACCAACGATTGGTTCATACGCCATTTGTTCCCTCAGGCAGGATACTGGAGCCCATGTGCACCATTGGTTTGGGGTCCGGTTAAAGCGCCGGACATTCGCTTTTCGTCCTCTCATTTTTGTAAACAACACCCGTGTTGTGAGAAGGCAGTGAGTAGGACTTCCCTGGCAGGGGCTGTATACGCGTGGCAATATGAGAGCATTTCGAGAAGGGGAGCGGACTCCCCCCACTCTCGGCCGTACCAGAGCATTTGGGGGCTTTGGAATACATAGTTAATATAGGTTTGTTTATTGAAAATTTCGATTTAATACTATCTGGTTAATGTCGAAAATGTTTGAATTCAGTTTTTCACTAATCTGCATCTATTTATAATTAGCTACTTGATATAACTTAGGGGTATAGATAACCTCTGATTAGTTATCGATTGGATAAATCTCAGCGCGAGTTCATAACTCAACTGACTTTTTATAAGTTATGTTATATTATGTTATATATGATGAAGTTGCTATGTTCCTTACTAGTTGCTTAAATGGAAATAATCCATTGTAAACTATATTCTTTTTAAGTAAATAATGTTCGTATATTGCTGAATGTTCAGTTTAACAGAATCATTTAG